GAGGATGGAGCAAACACGGAAAGAATGTCTGTGTTGAGTGTGTGCTCGAGGAGATGCCTGGATTTTAACTGGGCAGTCATGTCTGTCTTTCTCGCAGAAAATTTTATTTTAAGTTTGGCTCCGTGGGATGCAGAGGGGAGTGGACTAATGGAGCCACAGAATCCCGACCTCACACGTTCACTCGGGTCCCAGAACCCTGTGCACCAGGAGGTCTCCTTGGAGCAGGGGCCGGGCCTCCCGCCCACTCTCTTGCCTTCAGTCGCTGCCTCACCGCTGAACGTGCCATCTCTCTAAGCCTCGGGCTGGTGGTGCTCCTGGCCCAGCAGTGGCAAACCCTCAGAGGTGCTGCCTGCGGGGACCCAGGCCCCTGTGCTGTGTCCAGACTCCCCAGCCTTCTCTGCACAGCCCTGCTCCTCCTCTCTCTTCTCAGGCTCGCTTCCTTCTCCCAGGGGTCCTGCTTTTGATTCCTCGCCCTGGAAACCAGCGCCTCCTCTTGCGGTGCAGGTTGACTGTCTCTGCGGGAAGCTGCTCATCTCAGCCACGCTGCTCCCAGCACCGCCGCCAGGAGCGCAGGCTCCAGTGGCTGCCTCTCCAGCTGGGCGAGTCCGCATCCTGTTTTCATGCCCAGAACGAGGGCACTGGCAGGCACGTAGTAGGTGCTTGTTTAATGTTACTGAGCAGACTCATCTCTTTAAAAGTAGGTTGTAGCCACCGGTAAGTTAATAAAAAGCAAGCACTGGCTGTTCGCCGTGTTTGTTATTTTGCCCTCGGCCATCCTTTCTGGGGTCCCCCCTCTGAGCAGGCACATGGCGGGCGCTGGTGGCAGAGGCGAACAGACATTGTTCCTGAGCTGAAGGGCCACGGGCTTGTGAGGCAGACGGACCTAGAAGGGTGAATTAGGGCCACTCATTTATTCTGTAATAGAGAAACGCTCCTAAATTTGGATGGTTTCCGTCATGAAATTAGAGTGGACAGGGCATTTTAAGAGTGTAAGTGCAAACATATGTAAATGACACCTAATGTGTGGTCTGTGCTTCTCAGAAAACATGTGTTTAAGAGTAATTCCTCTTTCCTTCACCAGCAAGGACGGAGCCGGTGTGCCCATCCACGTGCGGGTTCGGAGGGCCCCTGGCTCCCACAGGCAGCCCTGATGGGGCCAGAGCATGGGCCGAGGAGTGGCCCCGAGAGAGGGGCCGCATCCAGGGCCAGGTCTTCGGCTGCCACTTTCCAGAAGGGCATCACAGGCTGGAAGTGCGGGCTGCCTCCCGCGTGTGGGAGCCTGTAAAACTGTCCGGGCAAGGCAGGAAAGCCAAGCTGGGCTTCACAATTAGGCTGTGACTTGCACCAAGGCTTCTGTGCCCAGGCACTGGGTCTGGGGTCCACGAGCTGCATGGCCTGGGTGTAGGGAGACGCATGCGCAGGGGGTGCTGCGTGGTGTGTATATTCTCCTTTTTGTTAAAAATCCTTGAATTGCTCACAGTTCTAGTCGGCAGAACAACGGTCCTTTCAGTGCACACATCCTACTCCCGGAAGCTGTGGCTCAGTTACCTCACATGCAACAGGGACTTCACAGACGCGGATAAAGGTACCGGCCTGGAGGTGGAGGTGGGGCGGCCCAGGCATCAGCTGGGGCCAGTCTGGTCACGGACATCCGGGGAGTGGAGGGCCGTTCCTGCTGTGGCAGAGAAAGGTGTGTTCACAGAAGCGGTGCAGAGCGATGCTGCCTAGTTAAAGTAACTTTCCCCAGCTTTATTGGGGTATGATTGACAAATAAAATAATATACATTTAAGCTGTGCGACATGGCTTTTAAGATGTAGAACATGATGCTTACTGTACGTATACACTGAAATGATTGCCACAGTTGAGACGTCTGTCGCCCACTTGGCTGCCTTCTGTGTGGTGAGAACATTGCTACTCTCAGCAAATGTCAAGGCAGTAATACAGTTTTATTAACGGTATAAACGACTATCAATCAGGCTGCATTTTAGAGCCCCAGAACTTACCTCTAACTGGAAACATGTACTCTTTGACCAACACCTCCCCCACTTCCTGCCCCATCATCCCTGGTGACCCCTCTTCAACTCTGCTTCTGAGTCCAACTTTGTGGATTTCATATGAAAGTGAGATCATGTGCCATTTGTCTTCCTGCGTCTGCCTTTCTCACTTAGCACAACGTCCTTCGGATCCACCTGTGTTGTCACAAACAGCAGTTTCTTTTTATTTGTGGTTGAATATATCACATTATTATATACTAGAGGCCCGTTGCATGAAGAGATTCGTGCAATAGGCCTTCCTTTCCCTGGCTGCCAGCACTGGTTTTCCTCCGGCACCCGGGACCCAGGCCTTTGGTCTGGAGGCAGCGAGGCCTCAGCGAGGAAGCCAAGCCTCTTCAGTCTTCAGTCTTCAGTCTTTGGTCTTCACTCCTCACCTGCTTATGCAAATTAACCACCATCTTTGTTGGGTTAATTTGCATAGTCACTCTGATTGGCTGGTGGGCGTAGCAGAGTGACACCAATTTGCATGTTTCTCTTTTATTAGTGTAGACTAGAGGCCCAGTGCACAAAAATTTGTGCACTTGGGGGGGAGGAGGGGCCTTCAGCCCAGCCTGTGCCCTCTTGCAGTCTGGGACCCCTCAGGGGATGACCACCTGCTGGCTTAGGCCCGCTCCCCGGGGGATTGGGCCTAAGATGGCAATCAGACATCCCTCTGGCAGCCCGGCAGCCCTCGGGGGATGTCCACTTGCCAGCGGGGAGCAGGCCTAAACTGCAGTCGGACATCCTTAGCGCTGCTGAGGAGGCAGGAGAGGCTCCCACCACCACCGCTGTACTGGCAGCCATCAGCCTGGCTTGTGGCTGAGCAGAGCTCCTCCCATGTGAGAGCGCCCTGACCACCAGAGGGCAGCTCCTGCATTGAGCGTCTGCCCCCTGGTGGTCAGTGTGTGTCATAGTGACCAGTCATTCCCAGTCCTTCTGCTGTTAGGGTCAGTTTGCATATTACCCTTTTACTATATAGGATAGAGGCCTGGTGCACAGGTGGGGGCTGGCTGGTTTGCCCTGAAGGGTGTCCCAGATCAGGGTGGGGGTCCCGCTTGGGTGCCTGGCCAGCCTGGATGAGGGGCTGAGGGCAGTTTTCAGGCGGGCCAAGCCTGTAACTGAAGCTTCCAGTCTCTCCTTTTTTTCTTTTTCTTTTTT